ATAAGAAAATATTAAATAAAAATATAATAAAAACATAATAAAACTAATAATTTTAAAGTATTACCTTATTTTTAACAGATTTCCAGGTTTTATCAGTTTTTAATATAGTTTGATCTAATTTTAAAATAGCATCAAATAATTGATCAATATCTTCAGCTGTTGCAGCATTTATAGGTGTAAATGGTTCATTTTTTAAATTTTGATGGGAAAAGATACTATTTAAAAGTTCTTTTACTGGTTGTAAGCTATTATTTAATTCTTGTTGAAGAATTGGATAATTTTTAGCTGCTTCTCTAATATCTTTAATTGAATTACAACGTTCTAAAATTTGTTCAAATTCTTTTGACATTTTTTTGCGCATTAATCCAACACATTGAAGTCCAAGATTTAATATAGACATAATTCTTTCAACAGGATTTTTCCATGAATGGCCTGGTGGTGTTCTTACAGCTACTAAATAATCAAGGTTGAGAGATAAATAAAGAGAAATAAGAGAAATTTGAACAGATAAATAGTTAACACGATGATCAGGTCCCCCATCCGTATATAGAAATAAAATTGGTAAATTAATATCATAATTTTCAATAATATGAAAAAGTTCTGTTGAATGACGTAAAGGAGATGATGCTTCAAATATAGGATCTTTTAAAGCTATAAATACCCGACCTTTATAGAATGAATTATCAATTGATTCTGGAATATTGCATTTCATTATAACACTAGGAATAATTCCAACTTTAGTAAAATCATGATCACTAACTAAAAAGGTTTCATTTAAGCCAACTAAAACTTGCTTTCCACGTTCTACTGCTGCTACTGGGTATCCAGGTTCACCCACTTTACAACGATGCTTATCATCAAGAAAATAAAATAAACTATATTCACAAAATTTTACTGCTAATTCTTTTTGATATCGAAAAAGTGCTGAAGCATAATGTGTATCAGGATGATTTATACGAAATTGTCGAGCTTGAATCATAAATTTAATATTTAATCGACCAGTATATTGTAGTGCATTTAAATTATAAGGAGATTTTGGCCAAAATTGTAATCGAACCCACTGATTACAAGGAATTAATGTTTCAGAAGGACATAGTGCAACAACTTGTTGTACAAAATCATTAACCGAAATTGCTCTTGCTAAATGAATTACTGAACTGTGTCTACGATCATCAACAGCAAGTAATGAATCTGCAGTACTAGCAAGAAAATTTTGTGCAACTTTCCAAAATGCTTCATAACGTGTTGGTGCACCAGGATTGTGTTCTCGTAAATCAGTAATAATTTTTGGATCTCCAATTTGCAAAGCTAATTTAATTCTTTTATCTACTTCTTTTTCATTTTGATTTTCAGCTACAGCCAAATCACCAGTTAAGTCACGATATAACAAACGTAATGCCATTGGTTTAACTGAGCCTAATAACATTTCACATTTAGATCGCCAAAGTTTGCGCATTGCTCTTGTATGATAAATACATATATCTTTTTCTAATATTTTTGCAATCTCAAAATTCCGTAACATTATTTCTGAATCAGATGCATTTACAGGTATATGCCATAAGTATATTACTGAAGAACCATGTGTACTATCATGTATATATTGTGCTACTTTAAAAGGAAACCCATTATTTAATTCTTTAATATATCGATGTTTTGGCCTATTAATAAACTTAGTTAAAAACAATTGGTAAAAACAATTTACAATATTGCTAATAAACTTACATAGGCTCATTTGGAAGAAATGATTCGATGTTTATTGTTTCCCAAAAGTTACTTTGCTCAAGAAAATCAACTAAAGTTTGATAACGATCAATAATGTGAGATTTTCTAACCAAATTGGGCTGTAAAATAGTAAGAAAACTATTGTTTTTTTTAACTGGTTCTAAGGAAAAATGATTTTGAGTTACAGTTATTAGCTGTTTTTGTAAAAATTCTTGATATTGAGACAAATTTGTAGCTAATTGCTCTAACGGATTAACAAGCCAATGAAATGCAGGTCTTCTAATCCATGCAGATCTTGTATATTTGAATAGAATATTTGAATGATATGCAAGCGTAGTTTTATCAAATTGTTTTCTCTTTTTTTTAAGTGACTTATATCATAGCGTCTGGTAAACTGTTCCATTTCAATAGGAATAGCAAAACCTCGGATTTTCAACTTTTCTGAATCACATTTATCTGCATACCATAATGCAGCAGCTAAGTCTTTAACAAATTCTTTTCCGGTTGTTATAGCAGTATCTTTGCTCCATCCACCATTATTTTCACGAATCCATTCAACAATATCATATCTTAATTTCTCTAGTGCATTTGATTGTTCTGAGATAGTAAATGTTGGTAGATGATTAAAGTTGGTAGCATTGTTCATCATTTGTTCAAAAACATTAATTGACGTTTCAGAAGGTGGTAACATTAAACTATCTGTTTGATAATACTGCACTCTGTTTCCCCAAGCTTCAATTGCTTCGATCATATTACATTCCATACTAACAACATTAAAAGGCCCAGTTGTGTTAAATGAAAACTCTACTTTAACTGGTTGCAGATGATCTTTATGATTCAACTGCACCTCAGGAACAATGTTTCCTGCAATAAGATCTTCATAAAACCGTCTTACTGTAATATTTTTAGGTACAGGAACACCAATCCAGTTTAATTTTACACTTTCTGCCTTAATACGCACAGAAACAACAGGCATTTTGGATTTTGTAAGTAATTAAAGTTTAAATATTCCTATACGATTAGATTTATACTTGCACTGTTTAAAGGTATACTCGTATGAATTTGTGCAATACTACGTATAAATAACTAGCTAGAAAATTAAGAAACTGGGTTTTTGTAACAAGTATAACCTCTTAGTTAATCCTAACCGAATAAGATAAGTACAAATTAAATTAAATGCCATTTCAGGAGTTGTATGGTAATTACTAGTCATAAACAAGTTTTTATCTAAATTGTCGTAAGGGTTAAGGAATGTATATTGCTTTATTGTTATACACACAATTCTGCTATGTGGTTTGAATATTTATTTATTTGTTTCACGCTTCTTCTTCTTCGTTACATCAGTCTTCCCCATCAAATGTCCCCTTTACCAATTCACAACAGTAGCATGACACCGTTTATTAGGTAGTGGTTTATTTTCAAGAAAAATCCAAAGTGGAAGTTCTTTAGGATCAAATTCCTTATTTATTCAATTTGACATGCACTTACATCATAGTCTGTTATAATAGACTTTTTTATTATAAAATTTCACGTGCATTTACATCATAGTTTGTCATAATAAACTTTTTAATTACACTATCCCGATATATTATACCCTAACATTACACAACTATTCGCTGCATCGATCCTTCCTATTCCTATTTACCCTTGTTCTTCATATCCCTGCTATTACTACTACGTGCAACCCGACATAAATGAACAAATAAATCGATGATACGTAATCAAAATCTCTCATATTTAACGTTTAAGTCAGTTCCTCTTATTTTAGTAGAATTCTACGTACTAATTTGTATAGCTACAAAAATTTTCTTTATGCAGATCAATAGATGCTACGCATCGCTAATTCTACTGCCTCAGTTTTAATATTTCATTTAAACCGTAGTTTTATAATGCCTTTTTCAGGAAAGCCTTAAAAATTCTGGTCCACAGAAATTCATAATTTGGATATGAACATGAGTCAATTAATTTAGTTTATTTTTGTTTTTTAAAAAAAAAAAAAAAAAAAAAAAAAAAAAAACGACCGACCGACCCAAGTTTCAGATTTCATGTTATGTTAAACGAAAAATTTACTTTGCGTGGCCTTAGGGGTTTTTTTTTAGAGTTAGGTTAGGGTTTGTGGGTAGTGTTGTTAGTAAAAAAGTATATGTGAATTTTAGTAGGTATTATAGATTTAAATGGGGACCTTAAATTTCAGCATCATCCCGACATTAATTATATTTCTCTAGCCAGAGGTGATTGGATAGATGAAAGACTTGATCTTGATATTGATTATGATATAAAAAAATGCTGCTTGAAAATAAATATTCAATAACATGGATTCCTTATAATAAATTTTTCGATATAGAAGAAATAGGAAAAGGAGGATTTGCAACGGTATATTACGCCCTATGGCTCGATAAAATCGAAATTATGAAAGACCTGTTGCACTTAAGTTATTGCACAATTCCAAAGACTATAATTATGAAAAATTTTTAAAAGAGGTAATTGTTAGTATTATAAGACTTTATATATGTTTTTTTATTTTTCTAATTATTGTTTTTTAACATTAAAGTTATACTGTGAAATTAATCATAAAGACCCTTCATTTCTAAAGTGTTATGGGATATCAAGAGATATTTCTTCTAAATATTACATCATTGTATTGAAATATACAATTAATAGATCTTTACGCCAAAATGTTCTGACTATATCACAAAAAAAATGGAAAGAAAAATTAAATCTGCTACATTGTATAGTTTCTGATCTTCAGACATTCTCATAAGCTTATTCATAGAGATTTGCATAATGGCAATATTTGCAAGATAATTTAAGTAGTGCATATATTGCAGATTTAGGTCTTTCAATAGCATCTAGCTTAAATTAATGGAGCTTACGGAGTTTTGCCGTACATAGATCCAAATGTTCTGAACAAAAACGAGTATACCATAGAATCTGATATCTATTCATTCGGCATAATTATGTGGGAAATTTACATGAACACCTTTGCTCGAATTTTACAATAGATTTTTTGGATTAGAGTACAAATAAAAATATTATTTAAAGAATTAAGACCTCCAATTTTTGTGCATATTATATAAGTTTTATGAAAGAATGTTGGAAACAGGATTCAAAAAAACGACCATCAGCGGAAAAAATCTGTAAAACTTCACAAGAATGGCAAAACGACGAAAAATTCATACTAGAAATGTCTAAATTTGATGAAAAGCTGAATTGCATCATACACAATGTAGCGAATGACAATTGTTATCTACTAGACCTTTCAATTTCTGAATCTGATGCAAAAATAAATACAATAAGACTTTTCCTAGCGGAAAATTCTAAAACGAATAGAACTAATAATAAAACATTATATTCTGATGAAATTCTCAGTCAAATTTTCAGTTGTAATAATAAAAGTGTGGAGAACTTATTAAGGTTATTGAACTCAAAAGAAATTATAACCAATATAGATAAGCTCTATTATGCAAAAAAATTTAAAAATTATATGGTTCTGAAAATAAACCATTTCTTTTTTGAATCTTGAGTCTGGAGTTAAAAAATGTGACAATTTTCGAAACTTAACTAGTGTTTTGATCCTTATTTAACGACTTGACTAAGTCGATATTTAAAATTCGGCTTAGCTGGCTAAGTCAAAGTCGATGATGTTGAACTTAAATTCCTGCAACTTCAAGCCTCAAGCACGACATTTATACTTAAATACAGTGCTAAGTGTAATCGAAATATATCATTTAATTGTTATTTTAGACTCGTTTATTAAAATATTAGATTAACGTTAACGTTAATGAAAAAAACAAAAAAAAAGATAACGAAAATTCTAATAATAATATATATATTATATATATCAATATAACCTCTAACCAATTATTATTAATATATAAAAGAATTTAACCTTTTTTTGAATCTATATGACGTCATAATGGAGAATTCCCACACGATTTCTGGATTTGATAAATAAACTTTCAAATCTAACCCCATCCTTTAATTTCACATGTGCAATTATTTTTGAAATTATTTAATGATATGTGATATAAACTCTCATAATTATTTGGGGTCAATAGAAAGGCAAATCAATTTTTTTAAATTTTACTAAACAACTACCAAATCAATTATTATTGCTCAGAGACTTTATTACTACCGAAACATATGGGAATAGGTGATGTTACCCAAACCCGAATAGGATAATTACGGTATTCTACCTAATTTGAGATCGGGATTAGAACTTATCCTTTAAGCTCATTCATATAATAACGCAATTTACTAACAATAACAGATATTGCATACGAGAACGGGGCTGAGAGTTTCGGATAATCATCCCAAATATAGTTTATAATTTTGTGATTCTACTAAGTTCCAAAACATTGGGTTTAGGTAACTCAATAGCTATCACCAACTGGCTCTAGCCTATATACTAACAGAAAATGGTGAGGAACTACTAAACTACCAGTCATCACATATGTATAGTATTAACAGGAATCCAACCATTCTTCCATATAACATAAACTCCAAAGAGGGAAATACTAATTTACTACAATTACAACTCAATCTCTCATTTAAAGGCAGTTTATAATTTACATGGTTGCAACAAGAATCAGAATACTGCTGCTGATGTACTTGTAATATGAAGGCACTGAATGCTAAAAAGGTCTTTTCACTGCCACTGCAGCCATAGAGCCTAAACATGAAAATACATGGTTCTTGCACTGCATGCAGCCGCCGAACATAGAAAGAAGATACCTAGTCCTAGCACTGCTGCAGCTGCACTGCTTTTGCAGCCGTGGAGCCTAACATAGGTCCTTGCACTGCAACTGCAGCCGTGAAGCCTGACTTATCTAAAAAACTGAAAAGCTTGGGGTGGGTTAGGGACGACAAAGCCAACCTCTATACTAAGGCGAGCGACAGTGACAAGAAAGATGAATCTCTTAACATATACATAGACAGCTTAAATACTCTCGATTATCAAACAACTGATTTATCGCATCAATCTTAACATATGAAAATAAACTCTCTATTATTCCTAGCCCATTGATTTACATCTGAGCCACCTATATATACATACAAATAATCGCTAACTAACGTAACAAACAATAAAATGCTATAAAAGAATAAACAAATTTAAACATGTGACTAAATAAAGTCATCTGATTTCACGCCCTGTTATTTCGTTGACAGGCTTCCAATTCAATGGGGGTAATTCACAAGTTCAGGTTTCTAATTTCGAATTAAATTAGTGATATATTTATTTCGAAATCAGCGGTTCATAAATCTTATTTACTTTAATTTGTAAGCTTATTTATATAATAACTTTTATGATTGTGGATTTTCTTTCGAGACTAGATATCTTTTTATATATATTTTAAAATGCTGTACCATATATTCCTGATCGTCAATTACATGTAAAAAGCATAAATAGTATTAATAAAAGAATATTTCTAATAGTACTCATAAAAATTTAGCTAATATTCTCGAAAAAGAAATCGGTGAACTTTTGAAACTATTGAATTAGATCGATATCTTACTATTCATTAAAAGCCTATCAGGTTTTATGATTTTTTCTCAAGTTCTCTTAGTGGTTTATTTAAAAGTTTTTTTTGGAAGGCGTATTAATTATTATTATTAATTCGAAAGTAACTAACTAATATTACTTAAGAATTTTAAAAAAATTTTAAACGATAATTTGTAGTTCTTTATTAATTTATCTGAATAACTCATATTTCATTTTCTAATTTCAAAATTTCAAAGCAGAAATAGTTTATTTTGTACCCCACTTATTTTCGAAATATGTTAATTATAATCACCCCAATAAGAATTTTTGGTTTAATTATACAACTATATAAGATTAATAAAATAAAATTTTTTTTATTGAATCAGGTTTGATAGTTGGTGAGATATTTTAACTTAAAGTTGAAAAAACCTTTACTTAGAAAAATTTGCCCTTTTTCTATTGACATCTCCCATTTACCAATCATGCAACAGGAT